GGATACATTAAGTCACAATTACATGAAATAAAGTCTTTAAAAAATTTTTTTTTTTACAAACTTTATATATGATTATATAATATAATATGATTATATGACTATATGATTCAGCTTAAATCAGCCGTAAATGTTAATGAGACAAACTGAGTTGAAATCAATTCAGAGATGTCAATATGTGACATGAAATGATTACTCATAGTTATACTGCATGTGAGTGTTTGCACGAGGGCCTATTTTCTGCGCTAGTCCACCAGGTGATGCTCTGACATCTTACTGTAATGTATGACTCCTGACGTGATAGCCATTATAACACTCTAATGCACTTACACGACAGATACACAAATATTCCAACACACATAAAAAAACAAGTAAATTCCTTTGTACAACACACAACATACCAAAATATCTCTCATTCAGACAGTGCGGTAATGGGCAATAACGTTATCATCGCAGGAATGACAAAACAATGACATTCACCTTGCACAATATTGCACAAACAGTCCGGGGCAGAACAACCTGTCTATACAAAGAAAACCATAGAATCTACTTTTTTTTGTTTTGTTTACCCAATTCTGTTTCTCAAGCTTGACTCCAGACAGCCTTTCAGAAAACTGTTTCAGTCTGGTCAACAGACAGGAAGTGATGAAAAGCATAAATAGTTTTGAAAGGGAGAGCGAGAGAATGCGTGTGTATGTGAGGGTTCATAACAGTGTGTTATTTCTGGTGAGAGATGCAAACACAGGCCTGAGGATTGCAGGTCTGACAGACAAAACCACAGGAAAGACTGCTGTGATGTTACCTCTCACACCACACGCTCTGTGATAAGAAGAAAGAAAAAAGGAAAAAAGATCTGTAACATGGGGTTGAAAAGTCCCTTCATGGGGGTTTCACAGCTGTGTGTTTTAGAAGAAGGGGCCCGTCAGCACACCGCGCAAGCAATAAACACGTTGCGTGATCTCAGTGTAAGGTCTATGCTATGTGACTGTTTTCAGTCTATCTTCGTAAACTCTGAACATCACACATCTTGTTTTTTGTTTGTTGACATCTAACATACTGTATCTAACATACATGTTAAATACAAGCTAAAAACTTTTGTTAGCGCATTAAACATTAAATGATATCTATAACACTAGCTAAACAAAATCTTCCACAGTTTTTTTGATGTACCTGGGCTAATTTCAAAGAGTAAAACCACACTCTAAAAAACATCCTGTTAAATTAACTGTTAAAGCTGGCAGCTGTGTTCGTCAGAAATTCAACATTAAAAATACAGAGACAATGTTTCAATGGCATATTAGTGGCTGTATATTTTAGAACTTAAAACTAAACATTTCATTAAGTGATATAAATGTTAAAATAATCTATCAGAGTTCACTGAAAGTGGCCCCTCCATAAAAATGGCAATACTCTTATATAGCTGGCGCACAAAGACAAAACACCATCAGGGTAACACACAACACTACAAAATACAATAAACGTTAACTAAATAACATAAAATGTGACACAAGACCAATGTACATCATTAATAAGAAAAATGACTACAACAAAAAACCTTATTTAAAAAAAATCATATACGATTTGTCAGGCAGGACCTCTTGGAGTGCCCTGTTAATGTTTTTTTTTTAGCATAAATTATATGGTAAATTATTGTTTTTACTTTCAAAAAGCATGTATTTTACAGCAAAATTAAAAATTACAGCTAACAAGTTTTTGTTGTAGTATTTTAGTCTTTTTCTGTAAAAATGACAAACTTTTTTTTAAATGAACAAACCTGAGCAAAATTATGTTACCTAATGTTACCTAAATTGATTTATTCAATTCATCGCAACAATTTACACATTCTGATTTTGTTTTATAACTTAAGGCCCAAATGTTTATGTACGGATGATGATTCATTTCAAATCTAGTTCAAAATGCTATTTTAGTTCGTTCAAAACTATTCAGGTGAGCATCGACTTCATCTGGATGCTTGCGACTGAAATTTCCCCATACGTTTTTCTACTTTTCTTTTTTCCGTTAGCAAAATGTGACCCCACTGAAAGCCACAAAATGTCAGGGCATTCTGAGATGGGTGCCATTTCTCTGCGTTGTGGTATGACTGGGCTGCCCACATATTGATTTACCCAACCCGAATTACCTTTCTGGCATGCCAGGGGACGACCAAAAATCCCTGCGCAAATTTGCTCAGCCACTCCGCATGCAGAGGAAGAGTCAGTAACTTGAGAGCGAGCGTGTGGTGTGTGTGTGTGTGTGTGTGTGTGTGTGTGTGTGTGTGTGTGTGTGTGGGTGGGTGTACATTTGTGTGTAACCCAACAGGGAGACAAACAGGCCTGTTGTTTGTTTGTATTTCTCAGCTCTGCACATGTTTGTCAGGTCTAGATCCACTTTCACAGATTTACTGTTCTTGTCCCCTCTGGCCTAGTGTACACTAGTGTTCTCAGAGACTGCTTTAATGGACAGATTCTTATTCTTGCTCTCCAGGGTACAAGCATGAACACGTCAGCTACATGAAGCTCTAGTGCAGCTGTAGCCTAGCAGTTAGCTCTCACATGCTCTCACACATTGGGGCAATGAACGTTTGAGCCTTGCTGGTGTAATTTTGCAAGCTATTGCCCCTCTTCTTTGGGGAACTTCCTAGTGTACCATTCAAAATAAAATGTCAAAAATAAATATTTAATGATGACTGATTAAAATGTCATTATATAAAATTATATTTTAATTACATAAAGCATTTATATTTTATTAAACAGTATTACACTACCTTTCAAAAGTTTGGGTAGGATTTTTAAAAATGTTTTTGAAAGAAGTCTCTTATGCTCAAAAACGCTGTATTTTTAAAATCAAAAATAGCAATATTGTAAAAAATTATGATTTAAAATCAAATTTCTATTTTAATATATTTTAAAATATAATTTACTTCTGTTATGGCAAAGCTACATTTTCAGCAGCCGTCACTCCAGTCTTCAGTGTCACATGATCCTTCAGAAATCATTCTAATATGCTGATTTGGTAGTCAGGAATCATTTCCTATTATTATCAATGTTTTAAAAAAATGTTTTCAAAGGGCCTCCTAATATTTTTTATTTTTTCAAAAGAACAACACTTCAAAAGAAAGCTTTTATTTGAAATAGATTTTTGTTTTATAACAACAAAAGTCTTTACTGCCAATTTTAATCAATTGAATGCATCCTTGCTGAATAAAAGTATTAATTTATATATTTGATATTATAAAACAGATAGTTATAAATGTATAGGCAAAAAAATAATATTTTAGAGTATGACCAAAGTGTTGATATGACCAATACAGTGTGGACCAATTCACAAACAAATAATTCCTAAGGGCCGATTCTTTTAATTAATCATTAAAAAATGCTCTCAAAAAGGACAAATTCTTAACTTAATGAACTCACTAAAAAAGTCAGAGCGCCTCTGAAAATCTGACTCACTTACTGAACTTGATTAAACTTAAACCATACTGACCGGTTACAATGTATAGTTAAGATACAGACTAGTATGTAAGGATACACATTTGCAACAAAGTTATTTTTTGTGATATATATATACACATACATACATACATTACAGTTCAAAGGTTCAAGGTCAGTAATATTTTTTAAAGAATCTGATGCTTTTATTCAGCAATTGTTTTAACAAATGGTGGTAAAGACATTTATAATGTTACAAAATATTTCTATTTCAAATAAATTATGTTCTTTTAAACTTTCTATACATCAAAAAATCCTAAAACAAATACAAAAAAAATGTTAAAACATAAAAAAATAATATAACAATAATAATAATAATTATTGTTAAATTGCAATAATAATTGTTTTTGACTTTTAGTCAAATAAATTCCACCGTCTTGCATAAAAGACGTCTTTTAAAAAAATCGTACTGACCATAAACTATCAAAGTTTTCAACTTTTGTGAATATGAAAGGATGGAAAAACACTATTCTGTACACTCTAAAAAATGCTGGGTTAAATACAACCCAGTGCTGGGTAAAATAGGGACAAACCAAGCAATTGGGCTGTTTTGACCCAGCGGTTGGGTTAAATGTTTAACCCAACCTTCTGGGTAGTAACCCAACCGCTGGGTCAAAACAACCCAATTGCTGGGTTTGTCCCTATTTTACCCAGCACTGGGTTGTGTTTAACCCAGCATTTTTTAAAATGTAGGAATTCTGCATCCAATTATATGCACAAAAATATGGCAAAAGCTGTTAAATCAAACACAGAATCTCACCCACTACAAGCAAACCGAATGTAGTTTAACAAGGACAAATCATAGCACCTTGAATCAAAGCAGCATATCTCCATACTAAAGCTTTCATCATTACCCAAAGTCTGCCCTCTCAGCTCAAACTTCTCAACATTCGTCATGAGCACAAGGCTAAACGGTCAGTGCGCCACTTCCCCTATTTAGACAAGCGATCCGTGAATAAAAAGTAGATCCAATGTCTCATTGCGTTTTTAGGCCTCATTAAAGCCATTAACCTTAAATTATTAGATGGAGGATGTTAATGTCAAAGTCACTTGGTCTCTGATTTGTTTTTTTCATGAATAGATTTCACAGTGCTTCTCTTAGAAAATGAGAATAGTAAGTGTAACTATTTTTTTTTAAGAAAAACACTGATATCTCTGATGTAAAATAACAAAGAAGTTTAAATTGTTGCTCTAAACACAGATGTGACAAGAAGGAGGTTTTAGGGAAAAAAGGGTATTTCTGATTTACATTGGCCTGTTGATCATTTTTATGGTTTGTAAATTACAAACACCTCAAATGACTATGGGCGGCACATGTTAATCGCTGATTCAGTGCTATACAGCAGTGGTATGATGATTGATTCTACTTGTGGGACTATGTTTGGTTCACTGCGGTGACGAGAAAGGTAAAGAGCCCCAATCTGAGACAATTATACACCCCCACAATCACACACCCTCGACTGTCCTTCCCCTCTGTTCTCTTTCTCAGTGACCTGCTCTCATCTCTCTGCCCAGACAGGAAACACGTTGAGAGTGTGCTAATGAGCCCAGCCCAAAATCCAGACCAGCTTCACAATACAGGCCACCACCCCGAGCTCCAGCCTGCCCCCTATCAGACCGAAGCAGGGGGGGCACATCCTGTGTGAAACCGCATCCTTAACTTGCATCATCACTCTGTAAATAAATGCTTTCCCTTTTATTTGCTCTTTTTCTCTCGTTCTCTACTTCCGTCAACTGTCACAGCCTGTGCCTCCAATCACAAGTCCAAACAAGAAAGTGAAAAGAGAGGGGAGAGATAGGAGATATGAGAGTTCATTTGCTGCTCGCTGCAAGTTGCTCTGCTGTTTCCTACACACACACACACACACACACACACTGGGCCAGCTGCATGGGACTCCATCCCAGGCGTGTGTTCTTTTCCTGATACTCACCGTTACGACATTGGCCCACCGCCGGCCAGCCTCCCAGCTAAACAGGAAGTTACGAAGCTAGGTGTAACTGAAAGCTTTTGTGAAAGCGGAAAAGGGACAGTGAATAAGACTGCAGTGAATAAACTCCACTAAAGTACGTCTGTATTGCGTTATAATACAGACCTAATCTAACACACCCACGGAAAGGAAAGTCACAAATGAGATCTCTCGAAAAACTGAACCAATTTACTTAGTGTGAAGACTATCTAATAATCTAAAGAATATTCTTCCACCATAAATAAATAAATAAACAAACAAACAAATAAATAAAACATTTTGTGCAATGGAAATGTTCCATGGATTCATCATGGAATCACAGATGCCAATAAAGAAGCTTTATTTATTTTTTAAAGATTCACTGTCTTAAACTGTGCTCTGATTTTCCAGTATATCAGAGTCTGCGATCAAAAGTCAGAAATTTAAATTTGAACTCAAACATTTTTCATCAAATTGAAAATAGAGCTATGCCATCTACCTTAACAACCATCTCTTTTGTTTCTATTTTCATTTCATCCTAAATAAAGTAAAAATTGTTGAATTGCTGAATGAAATGGAGCCTCTGTCATATGACAACTATTAGCTAATTTGTCTATTTTTATTTTAAGAAGAAACATCTGAGACAAAGTTGTTGCTTAAATGTCATATGAACCATGTTTTTTTTTTACTTAAGTCTAGTGAGATATTCAAGACCACCTTCTGTGGTCCAATTACATTTTTCATTGTTGCAAAAATCATTGATAATCTAGAATAGAAAACAATAGAAAATGCATTACTAATTAAATGTTTCAGCACTGACCTTTTCTAAAAGAGGACACGTTTAAAAAATTAATATAAGCAGATTTGTTTATCAATCATCTGAGGTCTTACTAAAGAAAAGTGAAATTAAATGAGAAACTGAAATATGATAGGTTGGGAAACAAACTTGCTGCAACAACAAGGGTGCACAAAGGCATTCCTAAAAACAGCTCTGAGAAAGGTGGACATATCCAGCATTGAGACCCCCTGCATTAGCCTGTGGTGTGTGTTACACAGAGGCAATTAAGACAGGATACTGATCTAATGAACTTCTAAGTGTGTGTGCGCTGTGTTAAGTTGTGAAGTGGGCCTTATGTTGAGCCACTGCTAAATGAGTGTTGAGTTTCAGTCGACTGGTCAGAGGGCTGCAGGACCAATCTAAATGTGTGCTTGTACGTCCAGCTCTGTGGATGCCAGTCAATGAGCAGATGCTTGGAAAAAGAAAAACATCACACAGTACTTGCATTTCCATGCCTGTCGGGGTGGTCTTGAACTGTGTGTGAGTCTGCTAGGCTGTTGTTAATTGCAAAGCCACAAATAAGCAAGTGGCCAAAACATGATTCAATCTGCTCAATTCACTAAACAGCATTTTTCTGCCCAACTGACTGATGGGCAATGGAATAATTACAATAATTTGCTTCATATATCTGTCAAACCAATCCCAGAGGATAATTTTATTGCTTAAGGGTTGATTTATTTAGCTCAGGAGCCTTATTGGAGCTATGCCACAATCAAAGTTCGCCTTCAAAAATTCAGATGTTGCCCCTAGAATAAAAACAGACACAATTTGTCATCTTATAATAAGTGTAGAAAGCTAAAATATTAATGTTGATCGAATAGAGCAGATATTTGGTTTTGGGAGGATTTTATGAGAATTTTTGAGTTCATATTGAAATCTCTGACCATTGATTGATTGTTAATAAATCTGGGCAAAGTTTGAGACTGTTGAAATCTATTTTGAAACTCTAGAGCAGTGGTTTCTCAAATGGGGGACAGGGCATTACATTCGAAAAACCTAAATACTTAAAAATTAAAACATTAAACAAACAAAAAAAATTAAACTTAAAATGATGTTAAATTGTTACATTTTTCCCTCTCAATAAATATTATTTTTATTGGAAAAACTTACAGCATCAGAATTTTGATTCTTATAGAAATCACAAAATAAATTGTTTAATTATATCAACAATACCATTTTATGTTAATAGAAAAGTCTGAAAACAAGCAGAATTGTCATAACTGCAGAATGAAATACGAGAAGAAATATATTGCCCAAAACAGGGGTGCCTAAAAATATTGCATCAAAAAGGTTGAGAACCAATGCTCTAGATGAAATACTGTACATGTGAGACTTCTCGGGTGTTTATTCAGAGAAAAGCCTGACAATCAGGAGTCAAAAGTCACTTTCCATTTCCATTGTGAATGACACATAAAGAAATGTTATAGAGATCTCATTTGCGATTTCTTCTTCCTATATGTTGAAATTTGCTTATGATAAGCATCAAGGTCCAATTTAATACTTCTCTCTATCACTTTACAATCAGCTGAACAAGGAATCATCGTCAGCAAAGTGAGATGTTAATCACTGATGGTGAGAATAGACGGAGATGTCTTATAATCCAACTCAAGTGCAGGGGTATGCTGAGACAGTCCGAAGTTTATTACCCACAAAAGATGATGAGGAAATGGTAACATCCATTTTATTGTTGCTTCAAATTAACCTTCAACTGGAAAAATAAATGGTTCGGCGACCTCTCTATTTTGTGAGCTATTATTTATGCCTCCCCACATGCACACATATATGCATACTATCATTTTGTTTAGTGAACTGTCAGAGACACAAAGAGTATAACAACACATAAGACGTTGCACTGTAAAAAAAGACTAATATGATCCTAGCCGCAGTTATTGTCACTTCTTGTGTTTATTGCCTCTTTATGATAATTTGTTGAATTCCTCATTTGTAAGTCAATTTGGATAAACGTGTCTGCTAAATTAATAAATGTACATGTAAAATGTACATAAGAGTAAAGCTTCTGAACACACAATTTGCAATAAATTATGGTCCAAGTCAAAAGAGCCCACCACCAAGTCACAATGTAAGTCTATGAAATATTTTTTCAGCCATTTTATAGTAGGGCTGGGTATCGTGTTCAATACTCTTTAGGCACCGACCGAATTGCCTCGATACTATCGAGTATCGAAACATGTTTTGTCGTTTGGTACCAAATTTCGATGCCTATAAGGAGTTCATCTAGTCAACGTCAGTAAGCCAGTAAGCATGCATGATGTGCCTAAATCATGTGCTGGTGATTGGCTCTGGTGAGGCATCAAGGAAAACACGTGTTACGTAGGGGTGGGAGAAAAAAATCAATCCATCGATGCATCGCGATTCTCTTTCCAACAATTCTGGATTGATTCTGAGAATTTCAGAATCGATTCTGAGCTTAGTTTTTAACCAGATACGCGATGACGCGGAGTTTGCTTTAGAAACACCCGTATTCTGCTTGCTTCCAATTCCAATCTCACACAAACTAGATTAAATTGATTATTATGTATTAAATATGGTTATTTTTCTTACAAAAACGCATCGATTCGCTACAGGAGGCCTTTGTTCACACCCCGGAGCCGTGTGAGACACTTTTTTTTATGGATGGGCGCTTTTTATTTCCTTCTTTTGGACTGAAGCACTGCAACACCCGCTGACTGCAATGATAAGAGCTTGGAATAGCCAGGACAATTTTTAATATAACTCCGACTGGATTCGTCTGAAAGAAGAAAGTCATATACACCTAGGATGCCTCGGGGGTGAGTAAAACACAGCCTAATTTTCATTTTTGGGTGAACTAACCCTTTAATAGATCTCCTGCTGTCTATGGTGTCATAGTAAAAAAACAACAGTAAGGATGAAGAAAAATCACTCACAGTTCTTGAATGGAAAACGTTCAGATAATCTTAAATACTGAAAGCACTCTTTGTTTGTTGTTTGTAATATGCTTCTATGCTCCTCTTTATTATTTGCTACTTGCTTGTATGTTTTGAAGTCATATTAGTTTAAAATTCTTAACATAAAACTGTTTTAATATATTTTTTTTCAATTTGTAATTATTTTAAAAAGTACTTAATTACTTATGTAATGATTTTAAGATTCTCAAGTCGGTAAACTAATTAATTAATAAGGGGGGGGGAAAAAATTGAATCAAGAATCGTTTTGGAATTGGATAGTGACTCCCAGAATCGGAATCAGAATCGGATCGGATCATGAGGTGACTAAAGATTCCCACTCCTAGTGTTACGTGACCATTCATTCACACTGTAGCATCATGCTACATAAGGCAATTTATAAAACGTATACTATTTATACTACTATTTTTACTCAAAACTCACTTTTAACCACCATCGAGTGTTTGTAATAACCTCAAATTGCGATCGAATGAGGGTTTTGGTCATATAATGCTGCAGAAATGTTATTTGTAGCCTTTTATATCAAGCTAATTGCTACACCTGCTTAGCATTTCTCATGTAAACACGCTGTATTGTTATAAAAAATAGGCAGAATCTCATGAAAATCACATACAAATCATATACTATCGTAATCCCGTGTTTCCTAGCTTCATGTTTCATCCCTGGAAATGTTTTTCTGGAAATGCAACGCATGTTCGTAGTCGGAGACAGGGCAGGTTATGAACATGTAATATGAGTGACATATGAGCAGCAAATGAGCTTCCTCTGAGTCAGAACAGTGATCGCGGAAGAGAAAACACAGGCAGCTAATGCTCATCAGATTGCGTAAATCAGTGGAAAGTGAATAGAAATGATTATTCCGTCTAAGCTATGCATTTTAAAACGAAAACACACAAGTGTAAACGTAGCCTAGG